GACAGCCTAGCCATTTTTTCAGGGCTCAAAAAAAAAAAAAGACCCGGCCTTATTATATGAGAAACACGGTAGTAGGAGAAAGAAGTGTTCTTTATTGCCTGGAGTTATTTGTAAAAATAATAAAGGCAGGATATATATAAGTTGAGCAAAAGAAAAAAAAAACAAAGGACTGGCTTCCTATATTATTTATAGCAGTTATAAGCACAATTATACATTTGCTTATAACAATTCCCCCTCTTAGAACTCATACATTATTTCTTTTGGATAATTTTGTTTAATTTTCCTGTGATTTTTTTCCTGACCATCCTAAAATATATTTTAACTTAGGTTATGATTTCCTCGATTTGTTGATATTCTTGACTGAGATATTTGGTCTTGTGATTTCTTACTTGACAGTGAAAACTGTATTCATTGTCTGCATCCTTCTAAATGTCCAAAATTCTCATTCTTTGTTTTTTCTTGACTATTATAATAAATTGTTCTGAAAGCCAGATAAATATAGATAAAAACTGGGAGATAAATGCATTTGGCCTCAAGATGGTGCTGCTTCCCTATATGGACAAAATCCATTTGTAAAATAGAATGTGCCAAGATACATGTGCCAATGTAAATCTTATCTTTGACTGAATGTGTGCTGGATCCAGTGGAATTCAACATCTGTACTTAGAATCAACTTTAAAAATGGAATCCCTCATGTGCTTGCATTGCATTTGGATGGGAGCTGTATAAGTTTGCACAAGTAAAAAATTGTGAAACATCTTCATTTAGAGTGTGCTGGAAGAAATGGATTTTTATCCCTTTAAAATGTGAAATAATGGGTAGGTTAGGATTTCTCCTCAAGGGACTCAGAAGGATGTGTGCCTGTCTGTGTGTTAGGTGGAGGGGTATGTCTTTCTAATTTGGGAGTCTTAATTTTTGCCCTGTAGGGTGTTGCTAACTGTGACAGTTCTCTTTTTGCATGTCTTTTCCTCGTACCTGTTGTTGGATTCATGCTGCCTAGTATATATAAGCCATGATTTATTGTAGTTTACATAATCATCCAACATATTGTGTCATACATTAATTGGTTGCATTCAGCCAATATTCCACAAAGTAAGCAACCTTGGTGCAATTTGTTACAAATTCGAAACCCAATTGGAAAAAGTTACAAAGTTTGAAAAACACTTGTCTAATATGTAGTGGGAATCCAATCCATGTACATGAGGCTTTTCAAATGTGTCACTCAAATAAGAAACCCCCCCCCCCTTATTTTATGCCATATACACATTTAATCCTTACATATATCTGTATATCACTACTATGGTTCTATCCTATCCCCTTTTGTCTTTTAGTGTGAAATCTATCTTTGGTCTATCCATTTGTACCAGCAGTTCCAGCTGTTGTGGTATATTGAAGTGTCTTTATTTTTTAATGCCAAGGTTAATTTGTCCAAATAAGGATAAAAAGGAGGTCTCACAAACTGTTGAAGATGAAAATGTTTTTAATTGTTTTCTGTCTTTTTCTATTTTCTTCTTCCTTTCTTCTTTTCTTTTTCTCTCTTACATTTATGTATGTGTTGTTGCTCTGTTTTAATTGTAAAATCAATAAAATTTATTTGAAAAAAACAAATAAAAATTTACTCAGCAAACTGTATTTTTTTTTGTAAACAGTGCCATCTTTTTAAACCACACTCCCTGTGCTATGGCCTTATTTCCCATATCAATGGAAGGGATGTTTCATAAAGAGGAAAGTTTGCTGAAGTGGAAACATGAGTAATCCCCCTCCCCAATTTTATAAATATAATGCAAAAATTGCAAACTTTGTAGTAAGGCGCAAATCAATCAGATTTTTTTTTCTTCCCCCAAATTCGAGAGGGCTACTCCTTGGGGTGATATTGAGCGCTCACCATCGAGCTTCCCAGCCGCTAAGGAAGGCTGTGAGTCGGCGCGCAGATCCTCCAGCCAGACAGCCGAAGGGCGGGAAAGAGTTAAACCTCTCGCCTCAGATGTAATTTGAGAAATCCTGCAAGCTCTGCTTCTCCAATCTGCGCGCGGCAGCGGCGAGTCACAAAGGAGGCCGGACAAGCAGAACTTCAATCCTAGAGGGTAGGGCTGCCCCGTAAGTGGGGCGACAAAACAATAAAAGGGCTTCCTCAGCCCCAAACCGGAGGATAGGGGAGCCAATAAAAGCTCAGCCATGTTTTGCGGAAAATGGAAAAAGTCCGGCTTGGAAAGTTGTCAGCACCACCAGCAGCTTTCTGCCCATCATCATGGAGGAACTGCCAAATCCTCGGGGCACCGCACGTTCAAAAAATTGGGTAAGTGAAGTGCCTGGCGAGCCGGGTAGAAAGGCGTACCTTCCGAGACCTTTCCTGGTTATTTTACTGGGTTCAGATGCAGCGCTGATGAAAGTTAGGGCTCAGCTCTGGCATCTTTTCATCTTTGCCGGAGCTCAATCCTGGAGCAAAGTATGTCAGCCTAGATAGAAGAGCACCTCTGAGCGGCTGCAGAGTGCTTTCCCTAGTCAGCCAAGTAACTCCCGATTTCGAGCGGACTAAGGGCTGCTACATTTATGGTGTAAAAGTGCGGACATAAACATATTTTGTTTTTCTCTTGAAATGTTTACAGTTTTTTTTTTAATTTAAATCGTCTGTCTAACTTATTCCTATACAAATCCCTATTTATTTAGCGTGTGGCATACTAATTTCCCTTTTTTTGAGACTCCAGGAAAATATGTGAATCAGAAGGAATTGACAGAACAACTGGATGACTTGATCTGTTTTTTTTGGTTTTGAAACTTGAACTTAAAGAAGCATAACAACCTGATCTTAAGTCAAAAATAATCCATAAATAAAACATATTTTAAGAACCATGAGCAATCTTTTGTTGCTTAGTAGGGTGACAGGAGTGAAAAGAGAATAGTTATTTTGTATTATAAACTGAGTAAAATAATTCTTTACCTTCATTTTTCAATTTAACAATGAAACTATATAAAAGGTGAGGCTAAATTAGTACATTAAAATGAGATAAACCTCTTTAAACTATAAGACAATGAATATATTAATAACATATGCATTTAAACATGCCTCTGATATTTATATGATTCTTAACATGTTCTGTTATTTCAGTTTTGTATTCATCCAATGTATTTTGAATATGGTTAAGTTTTATGCCATTTTCTTTCTTACACTGATCCTTCAAAAAGTATATAGGAGACTGTTCCTGGAGAAGAGATTTTACTTTCAGATTCATTATCTTTATTCAGGTAATCTTGAGTTATTTATCTCAAATAGATTAGGCAGGAAAATATTTAAATTTCTCAAGAAAAGACATAGCCCTGTATCAGGTTGTTTTTACTACAGGAAGGCGGGGCCATTTAAAAATTGCTGCTCCAGGAATTTAGCTTTAAACCATGGAAAATAATAGTGGAGTGTTCTTTTTTGTGGTACATTATCTCAGCAACCAAGTATATTCTAATTGTAATGCCTATAATTATGTAATATCTGCTAGGAAGTAATCAGAGTAAATAGTATCATAGAAAAAATTGATTGCAAATTTCCTTTCAGGAATTTGTAGTTGATGTAGGAGTTGAAATTTTCAGAAAATGTTTGTGTATAAAATTAAAAATTGTATCAAATACTAAGGTAAGAAAGTACAGCTTTATAATTTTCAGTGAAAATGTTTTTTTTTTTTTTTTTGGTCTCCTAATAGCTCTCCTTAACAAAAGGGCACATTAACAATAAACATTGTAATTCCAAGTTAAATATATAACTTACAAGGATAAACAACTAATTTCTATGGGTATTTATTTCATGTCAGACATTGTAGGAACTGATTAACCTATTCATATATGAATTACCTATCCATTTAAAAGATGCTCAAGATGATGTGCTATAAAGTGGAAATTGCCTTCAGAATGCTCTTGAGAATAATGGAGGTAGTAAAATGAATATAATAAAGCCACCACTCTGTATTAGAATGATATTTAAAATATTTATTATAAAATTTCCCTTAGAATTAATATATTAGAGCATAAAACTAAAGAGGAGTGACATTTAATTAAAAGAAAGCTGATTTAAGTCACTTTCTGTGAAATATGAATGAAATGCATGCATTAAACAATGCATTAAACAGCTTTAAATATTGATTTGATGGTTCTTACATTAAAATCTTGCCTCTTTTATAATAGCATTCCTTAGCTTGCTACCATGTAGGTGAATTGGGACAAGTGCTTCCAAAAAATTCCCAGGCAAAAGGTATACAGCATATACTGTACCAACAAAATTGCTGTTTTAGCAATTGTAGAAGCAACAGGTTGGGAAAGAATGGACCAATGCAACATGGTCCTATTTCCTATATGGGGAAGAACTCTGCACTAACTGATGCTTTTGTTTATCAAGTTTATATTCAGCTATTATACACACACACCAATGCATGTACACGAACAGTACTCCATTAATTGAAATTATATCCCACTTTTGGGTCTATCTGACAATCAAGGTGATTTTACAGGAATTAAAATGATAAAATATCAGAATAAAATAAGTTTAGAATTAATTAAATTATTTTTAAGAGAAACCTTTTCAACTAAAGATTAAAAGCTTAATGAAAAAGAAAAAAGATTTTCACATTTTCCTAAATTAGGGAAGAGTGGGGGCCAAAATACTCCTCCTCTGGAAAAGTTGTAGGCCATGGGAGGAGGCTTGGTCTGTGTACCACATATATGAGCTGCCAGCAGTGGAACTTTGAAGTACAATACAGCAATGCTAAAACATGTCTAACAAATAATAGTACTTAAAATGGTAAAATAAACAGCAAACTGTTAGCTCAGCTGATGAAAAAATTTAAATTCTACATTTATTCAAAAAGTCAAATGAAAATATTAAAGTTTAAACTTTAATTTATTATCTGCTGTTTAATTGATGCTAGTAGAGCTGCCAAACACTTTCCTCAGGAAAGGGGGTATTGTAAAGCTAAAAAAAACCTCCATAAAACATTTCTTTTCTAATTGCTTTTTTCAGTACATAGGAGCCAATTTGATCTGCTGATTAACGCACCAGGCTGGAAACCAGGAAACTGAGTTCTAGTCCCATCTTATGCATGAAAGCTGGGTGGATGACTGCAGGCACTCTTTGTCAGCCCAACCTACCTCACAGGATGGTTTGGGGAAATAAGTGGGGGAAGGAGTATTAGGTACATTTGTTACTTTGTGCTATTTGTAAAAAATAATAGAAGTGAGATTTTAAAAATCTAATAAATAGCAATGATAATCAGAGGTATCCCAGAGTGAACTTTGCAATGGCAAACTTTATGGACAAGTTTTGTGTTAAATGTCTATGGAGATTCTCAGTCATCCAGGCCATGGTTGTTCCAAAAGTGTTTTTTCAAAAGTCAACTGGACTTTCTGGTGTTTCTTTGAAAATGTTTCTCTTCTCATCCAAGAAGCTTCAGCTCTGAGCTGAAGAAATTTCTTGGATGAAAAGCGAAGCATCTTCAAAGAAAAACCAGAAAGTCCACTGCTTCTTGAAAAAGCACCTTTGGGACAGTTTTGTGTTACTCATTAAAGTTGTAATAATAATAGGACCTGCAGATGTCAAATTTTGATTTGCTCTATAATGTAGCTATACAGAGATTTGAGATGGGTGCCACTCTCTTGAGTCTATTGATATATATTCATGCTAAACAATACACTAAGCCAAAAAGAAGGTTGACAATTTGTGCTTCTGTAGAAACCATTGTAGCATGCTGTGGGAATTAGGTCATCATGTAAATAATAATGAGGTTTGCTTATTTTATCACAATGCTTACATAATTACGGAATTGTGTTTTACTAACCATTATTTAGCATGCTGAATGAACTCAGATAGGGTCTTCATATTACCATTTTGCTGTATTATGTGGGATAATTCTGTAGAAAATTGGATTTAAGGAATAAATACATAATGGTATGTATGCAGAAATGTGTTGAATGGAGCCTTCAGGAATCCTTTGTTAAATGTTGAGGATGATTAAGAAAATCAGTTTGATATACTTTAATGGGTGACCATAGATGGTGACAAGCTAATGCAATGAGAAAAATTGAGGAGAGATCAGCTTACAGTGACCTAGTTGTGATAAGGCAGGCAATGTAAGAATAAGTTGTGTAAGCTCAGTTCTGCCTAAGGGAGGCTGGGTAGAAGAGTGCTTAAGGAAGAATTGAGAGAGGATGGTTTTTGATTTTTTACCTGGCGGAATTTTTTTATGTCTCTCAAGAAATTGCTTCCAGATAGCGGAACAGGATGCCTCTGTTTTTATGAATTGGCAGCACCTTTCTGCATCCTTCCTCCTACTCCAGCAATTCTCAATCTCATCAACTTTAAATTGGGTGGACTTTCTATTCCCAGACTTCTCCAGCCAGCATGTGGAAGTCCATGGCAGGGAAATTGGAGTCTACCCATTTTAAAATTGCTGAGGTTAGGAAACACTGCTCTACTCACTAGGGCGGGACTGAGCAACATTTGAATCGGCTGTAAATTTCCCACATTTCAGAGAACAACAACATGATTATGAGTCGAGTGGTTGCAACACAGAGGACAGATGGAGAGTCTTCTCCATATTGGTAAATAAATGGTCAGTTATAGAGGGCAAGAATTAAAATTAGATGTAAGGGGAACATTGTTTATATTTGTAGAGGTGTTTTTGGATTATAGCTTCTTCAAGGTATCTGCAGTCCTTATGAACTTGGCCTAAGTGATTCATTCTTGTCTCTGACCTCTACTCTCGTTGATCTTGTTGGCCTTCTGGTAAGGACCGATGAGAGTTGGGGTTTCAGCAATGTTTTTATATTTGCCATCCTTGTATTAGGGAATCTTCTACTCCTGCTGCTTAATATGTCCTTTGTAAAGGGAAGGAGAGAAATATTAATTTATATCCAAACTACATCACACTGGAAAAAAAAATCCTAGGATGAAGCATCCTGATTTATTTATACTTATTCAGGATTGTTGCAAGGGCTTTGTCAAGGCTAAAAGCAGTATGAATGCACAACTTGTGTTCTCATTCAATGATTTTCCATTTTTAAAAAGCCCATTGTTTTATATTTACTTATAAAGCAATAAAGTAATTTTTTTTCCATTGGAACTTTTTTTTAGAAATTTAAAAATCTAATCTTTCTTATTTTTGTCATCTCAGGTTGACAAATATGTCTAATAATCCTTCTTCCTCCTATTTCCCCCACATAAGAACAACCCTGTGAAGTGACTTCACTGAGAGAGAATGAGTAGCCCAAAATCATCCAACCAGTTTTCATGCCTAATTCAGGACTAGAACTCAGAGTCTT